CAAGGCGGACTCCAGCTCGGCATCCTTCGCGGCTTGAGCGTTGACCTTGGCTTGCAGGCTGGGCTCGCTGGTGTGGCGCGCGGACTCGAACTGTGGAATCTCCAGCCTCCTCAGCGATCGTGACCAAGTTATGCGACTCGTCCTCCCTGATCCTTGTGTCATGTTCACCCTTTACCTTCCCATGCACGCCGTTGCTGTTGTCTGAAGACCCAGCGGCGCCGCGAGGAGCAGGGGGGCGAGAGCGACGACGGGTATTACTAGCAAGCGCCGGGTCAGCATCTGGGGACGGAGCAATCATTTTCCATTCGCCATAATGCGCGCCGGCATTCCACGCGTCCATGTTCTTCTTTCGCCGCGCCGCGCACAGAGTCATCTGTTTGGCTGCGTCGACTTCCGCGATTGAGGGCAAGTTGTGCTTCTGGGCGGTGGCGTTGAAGGCTGGTCTAGCCATCCGTTCTTGCCATTGGAACTCCAGGCCACAGCGCCGTTGGCCATGCTGCCGGGCTGGCGCGTGCCTGGGTCGCCATTCCCACTGCCGCGGAACCAGCGCCCTCCTCCCGTGGCTTCATATTGCGGGGGAAGGAAAATGTGACTGGGGAGAGAGAGAGATAGCCAAATTGGCCCGCTGCCTCATAATGCCGCCCCAAAATTCGAGACAGCAGGGCCCGCCTGGGCCGGGGTGGTTGAGCGCGAGGAGGAGGAGGGGGGAGTGGGGGCGGGGAGCAGGGAAAGAAGAGCAGGGGATGGAGAGGAGTTTTGGAAGGAGCGTAGGGGGGATGAGAAGCGGGGGAGGAGGGGGGGGGTCAAGGTTGGAACGGATGTGCGGCTTCAGCGTAGTATTTCCCCCTCATCATTTTCCTCGCGTCTTCGTCTTACTGGCGCGTGGCCCCCGCGCTCCGCTGAGCTGCGAATGGGCGCGCACCTGTAGCCCAGCTCTCGCCAATCGGCAGGCTGGGCGCCAAGGGAATGCGAACGCGCCGTGTGTCCCCCCAGACAAACTGCGGTCTGCCGGCTAGTGCTTAGGCAACGCCGCCCGTGCAGTGTGACGTCCGACGCATGTTTTTAGCAGGCTCTCTGGGATTTCTGTCATTGCTTGGCCGCCTCCGACTCCTGTCCTCTTACTTTCTTCACTCTTCTCCTACATGTCCTTCCCCTACTTTTCACCCGTGTCCCCGGGTGGGGTTTTTATTTTTGCGTTGGCGCAGTTGGCCCGCACTTCGCACTTTTCCCCCTTCCTCGTTTGCCACCTCTTCTTGCTGAGGTGGGACTATTGTGAAGTCGGGCGTGTCCTTCTACAGGGGGAGTATTCAAAACAATAATTAAACAATCGTCTGGGGACTATTTTTTTGGTATTTTCTACAATTTTGGAGCATTTGCTGAATATTTTTTACTTTTCATCGAAAGTCCCCCTGTAGGGGGACACGCCCGACTTAAGACTATTGTTCTGTTGCTTAGACGCCTCCGACTAGCACTTCCCGGGCTTCCCACTGCCCCCGTTCCTTTTCAATCGTATCCAGACTCACTCGCATTCATATTCGCTTGCGCTCAAACTCAGACTCGTTCGCGTTCCGACTCAGACTCGGGTTCCGCTCAACGCCTCGCGCTTTCGCACTTGGAGACCCGCTCGCGCTCAGATTCGCCATCGCCCATCGTAGATTCACTTGCCATCAGTTGATTTAGTCGCGCCTTTGCGATGACGCAGGGTTCGTAGCATATATATGCTAGTGGTAGTAGTAGTAGTAGTAGTAGTAGTAGTAGTAGTAGTAGTAGTAGTAGTAGTAGCAGTAGTAGTAGTAGTAGTAGTAGTAGTAGTAG